TGTCCTTTCAAATCTCCACATAATAGCTGGAGTGACCTTTTAAAATATAAATGAGATTATATCACCTTGCTTAAAACTCTCCAAAGGCTTCCTATTGCAGTTGATATACAACCCAATCTTCTTGCTTTACCCTGCAAGCCCTAGATCATGCATTCTCAGCCAGGAAGACATTGCCCCCAAAGGGGAGAAAATTGATCCTTGGTATGGGGGGTGAAAAAAATCTTAGCTATTAGAATGGTTTGTGGTCTTCCAAAGCTCAAAATCTTATTCCTTAGAATTTAATTACTCTCACTGGGTTTTCTTAGACATAGCATGAGCAACATTGACATTGAGTACATAGAAATATACAAAATATATGCAAGATCAGTGTTACAAAATACTAGCAAAAATAATGGCTGTGATTGGAGGGCTTTCAATTCATTGCTCATTCCTGAAGTCATATCTTGAGAAGTGACCTATGTGTGCCTATTGGCTGCCATTGAAGGCCTTTATATTTTGTCCTCTATGTCCTTGTATATGACTTGGGCTTTGAGAATTAAATAAAAATAGTATTTATTTAATTCTACAAAAGTTATTTAGCACATCATTTATTATGTCAAATGATGAAAAGAAAAAACTGATAAAAAAAAGTCAGTGATATATGAATGAATATCTAGCAGCTAGTTAAAACTTATTTTCTCATAGCAAGCAAAAGTTAAAAGTTGAATTCACTGAAAAATTAAAAATTTCAATTGTTTTGCTTTGGCTAGAAAAATAGGTTTTGAATTATTTAAAAATTTTGATTACACTGATATGTATATAAATTGCTAAGTTGCAATTCATAGATTTTATACATTATAATTTAAATAAGTAAATAAATTCTATTAAAAGTCACTCAACAAATACAGTTAAGTTACATGTTAATAGTTTGTGAATTTTAAATTTAACTTCTATCTTCAAATTTCATTTATTCTTAACCCTACATAAGGCTTGCTATTTTTTATGTATGTGTGTATTTTTATGTATAAAGCACAGATGCACATACATTTATTAAACAGACTCTTTGCCGTTTCAGATACCTTCCATTTCAAGTATTAGAAAACCCAGACTCAAACTGCTGTACCTATAAAGAAGTTTCTTATCTCATAACTTGGAGGCAGAACTAGGACTCCAGGAATGGTATGATCAGCAGCTAAATGAAATGATCAAAGGGCTCAGAGTATTCTCATTTCCTCCTCTGCCATATTCAATGTTCTGGTTTTTCCCTCAGGCTGGTTACACAGATTCCAAGGGTCATATACAGAAATAGCATCACCCTAAAGAAGAAAAGGAAACATCATTTTCTGTTTCCCTTAAGAACAAGTTTCTTTCAGAAGTACCCCAACATATATCATCACACTTAATTGGCCAAGATTAGATCATATGCCAAATGCTAAGCCAATCACTTGCAGGGGGAATAACATTATCACAATTAGCTTAGAGTAACCTTTTAGAGTGGGATGAATATTGAGAAGTCAGTGGCCATGACCACCTACAGGTACAGAATGTGTCACTAGGACAACAGTCTCCCTCTTTTGCTTACCTTGGCTGTGATCTCTTCTCTGTGCTGCTTTGTCCTCTGTCTCCAGATGATGATAAGGTGAATAGAGCAGCTTGATCTTCTTATCCTCTCAGCTTAACTCATGTCCAGTGGACAAGATCACTTACTTCATACCCAGGAGTTTGTGCAAAATATCATCGTGCCTCATTGGCTCTGACTAGGTGGGGTGCCTAGTCTTAAAACAATCACTCTGACAGTATTTCAGTTCTCTGAAAGGGCAGACTTAGGTTGTTCCCAAGAGGAAAATGGGCACACTATTATCAGAAGAGGTGTGATTGAATGCTAGGCTGCAATGCCAAGTGATGCTCCAATTCAATAAATTTTGCTGCCCATCAACCATATGAACCATTCTTGCCATTTACACATGTTCAAAAATGTCTCCATTGTGTTCTTTCATCAATTACCGATGAAATGTGAATTGCCACTATTTGGAAAATATCTTTGCAAGAATAACTGCTTTAAAAAATTTTAAGGCCATAGACTATTTACAATTTTTGAAATTTGAATAAATTGGAAAGAAAATGTGTGGCCTTTTGTTGTCTTCTTTTTTTTCAACATATTTGTGAGATTCATTCAAGTTGTTGCATGTAGTTGTAGTTTGCTCATTCTCAATCCTGTATGATATTCCATTGTATGAATGAATATACTACAACATATGCAGTCCACTGTTGATGGAAATTTCGGTGATTTCCAGTTTGGAGCTATTACAAATAGTTGAACACATATTTTTTAATAAATATAGAGTTTTGGATTTTAGTGATAGGAGACTAAGCAGTTCAAAAATCTTTCTCATTAATTAAACAATCAAAGCTGGGTGAAGTTAAAACAATAAACTCAAAGGTATCTGTAAACTAAGAAGATAGGAAATAATTACCAAGCCAAGATATATGAGAGAACAGGTCCAAAAGACAATGAACTTGGTGGATGTTTTTCCCTTGAGGAAATGTAACCACTTTAGAGGGAACTGCTGAAAGGCTTAGAACAGGAGAGGTTATGACTTCTTGTTGAAGCTAAGGATACAGAAATTGGAGTACAGAGCCCCAGTAAAACTCCTTCACTTTTGCTTGGGACTCCAAGGGTAAAATCCTAGGAATAAAAGTTAGCCAGAACTAAATAAACCGTCCCACGAACTAAAGCATATCTGTAATTTGCTATCCATAAAAAATTGTATGAACTTTTATTTGCATCAGCTCTAGATGTGAAATTCTTTTTTCACACTCGATATTAACATTTTTATACTTTGATCATTGAATCAAAATTTTTTATTGATCTTCTCTCCCATTTAGTAATTATTTTATTGTTTTAATCTTAGCTGCTCTGTTAACATTTAACCCATCATCTGATTCAGATACTATACATAACTATTAAACATTCAGGTTGTTCACTGGGTTTTGGTTTGTTCAGTTGCTTTTTCTTCTGTATTATTTTGCTGCATTTTGCGTTTTAATAGATCTGTTGATATTGGAATAAATTCAGTGTAAAATTTTCCTCAATTTTGTAAAGTCATTCTAGCCTTCCTTAAAGAATACTTCTGCAACGAATTATAAAACCATCATTTTACCTAATTGTTTCTTATAAACTTAATTTTTTCCTGAAGCTATCTTTTCTGATAAATAGATCAAATTATCAGTTATTATGGAAACATAATCCCAATGTTCAATAATGGCAGAAAAGTTAAATTATGGTCCCTGTAAAACTGAGTTTTATGGACCAAAGGCCATATATGCAATAGGTACTCAATAAATATTTGATGAACAAATAAGAGAAATAATAGTTTTCAAAATGTTTAATATTCTTAGAAGATGCATACTCTATATGGAAAAAAATCAGGGCATTAACTTGCCTATGCAAAATGATCCCAGTTTTGTAAAAGCCTAGAAAATGGCAAGACAAATAACGAGTATTAATATTTTGCTGGGAGCCCTAGGGAATGGGAGCTAGAATTGCAGTTGATTGTTTTCTTCCTATCAATTTTCCGAAATTTACAGTGTTAACATTGTGGAAGGAATTCATTTGCCATAGAGTAAAAGTAAAAGAAAAAGAAAAGGGGGGAAATCCTTAAGAAGTAAAGTCCAGTAATGACCAGTAAGGAAAGATTACACAGAGATTGGGTCCAGATAGCAGACTGAGCACATTTCTCCCTTCCTACCACAAATTCCTGTAAATGACAGGAAAGGCATATTTATGTATAAAGAATAAATACATAAGGGCACTGGGGAAAAGAAAAAAACAAATTCCTGGGAGGTGGAAAGCAGATGGAGCAGGGGCACTGACAGAGTGGAGGTGGAGGTGAGCACAGGAGCCAAAGGGCCCTGAAAGGGAGGGGGGAGAGAGGAGGGGGCAATAGGGTGGAGGATTGTAGGCCCAGCTGCTCCAGATTTGGGAAGGGGGCGGGATCGGGAAACGAGGAGCACCACCCATGCTCAAAGCACTGGTGGGCTTGAGAGTTGCGGTGGGGCAGGCAGTGTTCGGCAGGAAGGGGAGGCCTCTCTCCTGGCAGGAAGCTGCGCTACGGAAAGAGGGAGGAGACTACTGCACCAGTAGCGGCTGGTGGGAGACCCATGTGGCAGAGGGGCTGCCACCACCAAGGAGGAGACGGAGGGCCCGAGAGCAGAGTGCTGAAGACACCGCCGCCATCCTCCTCGCCTGCTCCGCCGCCCTCCTAAACACTCTCGCCGCCTAAGGATCCTCCCCTTCCAGCTCTTGCAAACACCCGGCTCCTCGGGAGCCTGCGGATATTTCTTGGACACAGGCTCACCGCAAAGGAAGCTGCGAGGTGTCCGATTTGCACACGTGAAGCCCGAGACCCGGGGCGGTGGACGCCAGGCAAGACAAGGCCATTGGTGGGTGCTGGGATGGAGAAGGGGGATGGGATGGACTCCTGCAGGAGATAAGGGGTGGAGGCGGGCGCCGGGGTGGGAAGGGGGAGTGCAATGGGCAGTAGGAAAGGGGAATAGCGTAATGAATCAGGCAAGACACGGAAGGTGAGCACGGAGAGGCGAGGGCGCTGGGGGCCAAGAAAGAGAGTGGGGGGTGGACGGGGGCGTGTGGGTAGCAGACTGGGGTGCTCAGAGCAGGAGGACAGTGCATGCGGGTCAGGTCGGTGGAGGGATAGGGGTTTTGCAAGGGATTGAGAGTGGGCACCAGTGGCGGGTGACGGAGGCTGGGGTCTCTGAACAAGGAGGTAGCCCGCCCCTCCTGCAGAGTTCCTAACCCCAGGCAGCACCACTGCCGCTGCCGCCTTCTCCCGCAACCTCAAGGAACCTAGAAGGGAGAGCACTTTCAGGCACACAGCCAGGATTTCCAGCATTGCTGCCAGGCTCATGGGGAAATTTTAGGCGCTGGCGCAGGGTACATGGAGACGACGCTGTCGGGAGAACTTCACCTTATGGCATATTGAATGTTCCTCTCTTCTCTTCTCTCCTCCTCCTTGCAGACATGAAAACCCCCAACTCGCAGGAGGCCGAAGGGCAACAGACCAGGGCAGTTGCAGGACGGGCCACTGGGTCTGCAAACATGACGAAGAGAAAAGCCTCTCAAAAGAAACAGAGAGGCAGACCTTCGTCCCAGCCCCGCAGGAACATTGTGGGCTGCAGGATTTCACACGGATGGAAGGAAGGCGATGAGCCCATCACCCAGTGGAAAGGAACCATTCTGGATCAGGTGCCTATAAATCCTTCTCTTTATCTGGTGAAATATGATGGAATTGACTGTGTCTATGGACTGGAACTTCACAGAGATGAAAGAGTTTTGTCTCTTAAAATTCTTTCCGACAGGGTGGCATCATCTCAAGTCAGTGATGCAAACCTTGCAAATACCATAATTGGTAAAGCTGTGGAACATATGTTTGAGGGTGAGCATGGTTCTAAGGATGAATGGAGAGGAATGGTCTTGGCCCAAGCACCTATCATGAAAGCCTGGTTTTATATTACCTATGAGAAAGATCCTGTCTTGTACATGTACCAGCTTCTAGATGATTATAAAGAAGGAGACCTCCGTATCATGCCAGAGTCCAGTGAGTCTCCTCCAGCAGAGAGGGAGCCAGGAGGAGTTGTAGATGGCCTGATAGGTAAACATGTGGAATATACCAAAGAAGATGGCTCCAAACGGATCGGCATGGTCATTCACCAAGTGGAAGCCAAACCCTCTGTGTATTTCATCAAGTTTGATGATGATTTCCATATCTATGTCTATGATTTGGTGAAAAAGTCCTAACTGTTAGGGTAAACTTTGCCGCATTTGTGAAAACAAATGTGTACTTTGTAGACATGCAAAATAATGTTACTTTTCAGTGTATTGAAAGCTTTAGGGTCCCTGTTAATCTGACATCTTTGCCAGCATAACTGTTGTTTTGTCCTGAAAAATACAAATTTATGTGGCCATGACATGCTGTGTGTAAGGAATTTGTCATGTTGAAACGATTGGGTGTGTTTGGTGGCTAGGGCATGAAAGGAAGGAACAGCTGTAAATTCAGGCTGTGAATAAAGTTCAGCTAGTATCATAATCAGTCATCTAAAAATGGAATAGGACTTAGCTGGTTTGGTCTAGGGAGGGGGGAGGAGAAGGAACTAGAGATGAGCTGTGGGGGAAGGGAGAAGGGGAGGTGGCTGCTTAGCAGGAGGTGGGGAGGGGTCAGAAATGGAGAGGCTCCCTATTGGGAGGGATGGCCTAAGAGGGGGATGCACACAACTGGGAGGGGGTGAAGAATAACAGAGGGAGAGTGAGATCTTGAAGCTTAGAGGAAAACAGACAGAATAAATTGAATAGAGGGGGACACAAGGACGTTTAGAAGAGATCCAGAGCAAGGGAGAGAAAGATGAAGTTGGCAGAGATCTGGGGAGAGGCTAAAAGGATACTCAAATGGAGTATGCATGAGTGAGGGGCCAGAAGGGGAGGGACATCGACGAAGGAGGAATTCTAACATGAAAGTTGGCAGAGATCTGGGGAGAGGCTAAAAGGATACTCAAACGGAGTATGCATGAGTGAGGGGCCAGAAGGGGAGGGACATCGACGAAGGAGGAATTCTAACATGAAAGACTGACAGAGGGAGTGAGAATACAGACAACAAGATATGGGGAGTGTGGTCCATGAGAGATGGGAAGACCCAAGGAAAAATAGGACTTCTGGCAGTATCCAAATTGCCCTCCCTAGCTCTGTGCCCAAAGGAGGTGGCAACCGTCAAAGAAACCAGGTGGATTGGAGCTTCCCTAGAAGGACATTTTGACAGGAATGTCTCAAGAGTTAAGCAGGAGCCAAGTTTATACCTAAAAGCCTTTTATAACATCAGGGAGTTTATGCCACACCTGCTGAGAAGAACCCAAACCCTCAGCCTAAACACACTAACATGGCACTCCATAAGCAGGGGCCTGCGGGCAGCTTCCTCGTATTTTCCAGAGGACCCAAGAGCAGTAAATCTCAGACCTGAAGGTCTTGGTTCCCTTCGCCTACACTGAATAAACGATTCTTGTGGGGAACAGGTCAGTGGGGTGCTCAGAACTTAAGAGATGTGCCACCTTGCATTTGGAAAGCATTTTATCCAGAAAAATGGAAACTTGCTAAACCCAGGTACAGCACTCTCCTCACTGTTCTTCCTCCTCTTGGATTATACCTGGCCTCCTTACAGAGGAGGGGCATTGGAGGACTGAACTTAATGTTTCTCTCCCGGGCGTGGGGAATACTTGACTGTCCACGCTTCTTTCAGCAGTTGCCTGAAACCACAGGTGGCTCCACCCAGTGCTTCACCAGATGGAGGTCTGCTGCTTTTAGAAGCCCCATTCTGGCTATATCCTGACAAAGCCAGTGGCTACTGACCTTTCACAGGTACCTCCTGACCAGTCTTGCCCACTTCATGCACACGGGGAGCTGTGATGGAAATTTGTGCAGCTCTATTTCCAGGTGAGATAGATGGCATGCACAGTTGGGCGGGGAGTTGTGACTTTGTAAAACTAAGTCCTTCGACTGTATGGTACCACATAGGTGGTTGGTGGGGAGAGGGTGTGGTAACCCCCAATAAATTCCCTCAGAGATACAATGTCCCAACACATGAGTGTTTGTCCTTCTCTCCTTCTTTCCTTTCCCCGGTCCAGCTGTGGAAGTTTCCTTCAAAACCCTCTCTCTGGTTTTCCCACTCCACACTTCACTGAAATATACCCCTACCCTCAAAGAAACAGTTCTGGTGACTACCCACTGCCCAGGCTTCCTTAACTCCAGGCATAGCAGGGAGAGGGGGAGGCAGGGAGCTTCCAGGAGTTGAAAGAAGTTGGTAATTCCAGTACATTCTCTCCACCCAACACAGCCTGAAACTGTTTGCCTCGAGAATTACACAAGGCAAGCCCACTTCACCAGAACAGGGATAAGTTTTCTTTCATACAGCACATAATTCAGTCTAGCAAACACCTGCCGGCCACTCATTGGCCAATTTCAGCCTGCTGTCATATTTTGCTTGATCGTCATGTTTTTATCATTCTCCATTTTAAAATTAGCTACTTAGACATTTGGGGGATTTCACATGTCAAAAATACACATTTCTGGCTTACCTGAAAAAATAAAAACAAAAACAATAGACCGAGGATTAGGGCCCACATCCCAACAAGGATACAAGCAGCTGGCTCTGAGGAAGGGCTCAGCCATTTTAGACTCAGAATGCTCTCTCAATGGGGCCACACCCCGAGTTGGCCTGCTTCGCTCTAATAAAATGCCCAGTTGTCTCCTGGAGGCACTTGCATTGGTAGTTTTGGGGCTAGACCCAGGGAAAACTGCCTAGCCCCTCTTTGGCTTACTTTAACCCAACTTGCTTTTTAATTTATTTGCTCTATTTTCATCTCACCAATACTTAACTTCAGGTGGTCTCTCTGCCAGGCAGTCTTCTAGACACAGGTCCTTATGATATGGTTATAAGCAAAAGAAAAAAATAAATAATCTTATCTTCATGGAACTTTCCTATTAGTGTGGGAGACAGACAGTAGCCAAGAGACAATAAGTAAAATATAAAGTATTTTCAAAGTGATAAGTGTTAAGAAGGAAAAAATAAAGCAAAGAACAGGGGGACTGAAATTCCAGGGAGGAGGCCGAACAGAGGGCCTCACTGAGAGCCTGGTTTTTGCATAAAGTCCTGAAGGCAATGAGAGAACTGGCCCTGTGGCTGTCTGGGGAAGGAGCATTCCCAGTAGCGGGACAGCAAGTGCTGAGGTCCCAAGGCAGGAGTAGGCCTGGCATGTTCAAGGAACACTGAGGTTACCAGCATGGCTGGAGCTGAGTGAGCAAGGTAGAGAATATCAGGAAGTGAGTTCAGAGAGTTGATGTGGATCTGGGAGAAGCATATAGCTTGGAGCTGAGTGAGCAAGGTAGAGAGAATTTCAGAGTGAGTTCAGAGAAGTGATGGGGATCTGGGAGAAGCAGATAGCTTGGAGCCTCAGAGGGCCTAGAATGGAATTTGACTTTTACACTGTGTGTGATGGGGAGCCATTCGAGTATTTTCAGCAGAAGCGCAGCATGATTTGTCTCATATTTTAACAGGATCACTGGTGACTCTGGAGTATAATATGTAATGGGGTACAAGGAGGGAGAAAGGAACATCAAATATTTCAGTGAAACAGAGGAGAGACCTAGAAAGAGATTTGAATATAAGAAACTGAAATCATAATACAGGTGACATTTCAGATGAATGAGAAAAGACATTTTATTCAATAAACCGTACAGTATTAATCTATATTTTCCATATGCTAGGAAATACACTCCAATCCCTTCCTCATACCTTGCATACAAAATGAGTTCCAAATGATTAAAAAGTTAATATTCAATTTAGGAAATAGCATTTATAAAATTTTAAAATAAAATGCAAGAGAATGTTTGTATTTTTTCCAATGGAATTGGTGAAAATTTATTTTAAAACTAAAAAATTGACAGATTTTGATGGAAATTTTGATAAATAATATTATATTAAAATATGAATCCCCTAATTTGAAAAATCATGCTATACAAAGTGGGACAAAATAAGATTAGGCTACTAACTTTGATAGTGAAAATACAAGAAATAAATAAAAATATTTTCAATAAGAATAAAACAAACAGGCCATAGAGAACTTAGCAAAAATTATGAACAGACATTTCCAAAATAGGAGATCATATGGTCAGTAATCCTGCATTATCTTAATCTGCTCCCCATTACCTTACTCTATCCTTTCCATCCACATATCTTCTAACATGCTATATAGTTTACTTAGTTAATAACTTTATTTTTTTCTCCTTGACAGAATATAAGGTCCATAAGTACTTGATTTTCCTTCCTTTATTTTTTCACTGAGGTATCACAGATACTTAAAATAATATCTAGCACGTGGTAGATCCTTAGTAAATATATCTTCGCTTATGTCTCACTAGGAATCAGAAAAATGGAAATTGAAATCACATACACTTTTATATGCATCAAATGAACAGCATGTTGAAGTTCAAAAATATTTGTTGTCATCCAGATGAAAAGTGGGAGATCCCATCCACTATTGGTGGGAGTTCAGTTGGAGATAAGTTTGCCATTACCTAGTGAGTTTGAAGATGGCATATTTCCAACAATTTTACTGTTATACATTGCTGTAGGACAATATTGTGTGGATCTCTGTACATTTTGCAAGCAAGGTAATGAATAGTGTTGGTTTGCCACATTCCTTTGAAGGATGTTGGAATAACAAACATCTTTGTGAGATGGGATAGTGCTTCCCTCTGTAGCAATGAGCAGGAATGCTTACTACAATATAATAAATATAATGATGTCTCCTCCCAGAACAAGAGGAAGGCATGTTCACTGCCCATTATAAAAGATTAAGTTAATTAAACTAGTTTCCTTTCCTCTAATGCAATCTACTGTGTATATATGTGTCCCATGCCCACTTCCTATCACCCTGTGTTAAGTGGGACTCAGGGATTCAGGGTAAAACTGCTTATCAGTCTGACTATGGCTGTTGCTGTGAATAATAAACTGTTAACAAGGAGGAACTGAGGAAATTGTTGCAGGATGAGTACCAGGAAGTAGGTTCAAAGACAAGCTGGAATCATGCATTATTTCTTGATAATTCAACTCCTGGTGAGACAGCTTGCTCCTCAATCTGGTTATTAACCTCAGGCCCACTACATTGTAACAAATAGTACTAAGATTGATCCTAGGTAAGCAGAAGTTTTTGTATCCTTTCAGATAATAGTGACAGAAACACACAATGACCCAGAGCTAAAGGAAGGAAATCACAAGCACCCCAGGCACAAACGAGAATCCTTAGA